TTTAAATATTGATTTGAATTAAAAACTCAAGAAGTTATGATCATGCATATTTTTCAATAATTAGTATTGTAATTTTTATTGTTACAAATGTATGTATAATTTTTTAAAATTAGGTACAAATGTATGTATAATTATTAGATTTCAATTTTATATTTAAAAATTTAAATATTTTTTTGAAGTATATAGAAGATATAATAAAAAATTATTGATTTTTTGTACAATCGGTATTATATATAATACAGAATATAAGATGCAAAGTCTTGTAAGATGATAAATTCATTTTCGTTATAAAAATAATAAATATGAAAAAATGATAATTATGATTATCATTTTTTATGTCGCTCTTTTTTATCAACTGATCATTATAGTTTCCTAATAATAACATATGGCGCTTTATTCACTTGTGTAACTTAAGCACTAGTTAGCTATCTATCTTAAACATTTGTAACGCTGTTTTTATATTTTTTTTGTATATATGTATTGATTATTTATATTTTATATTATATATATCTTTTAAATATATTAAAATTTAATATATTTAAAATATATTTTATATTACTATTGAAAATTATACAAATATATTTTTTAACATTTATCATATAATTAATATATGACTTCATTATTATGCATTATTTTTAATAGATATCTATATATTTTTAAAGTAAGATAAAATGACAAATCAATTTAAAATAACATTCTATTATTGAGTATATATTTTCTTTAATATTATTCTTTTTTCAAATATATATTTGATCATGGGTTCCATATTCTTAAAATCCGATACTGTGCTTGATAGAGAATATTGATAATCAGTTGGCAATCCTCGGTGATAATATCACTGTAGCATGGGGTACTTGATCGAGGTAGACAGCCCTGGTTTTCTGGAAGTCGTCAGTGGGGCCATTAAACGCGTTATATGTGTATTGCAATTTGATCCCGTAGCGCTCGATCGGAGAGTAATTTACGCGAATTCCTGGGCATCCGGGTCTCTGCAGGTGGGCCATCAGAGTTTCTTTTCACGTCTGATGTGTTCAGTATCGCAGCAATTGCTTCACTGTTTCTTTGCTCGTATAACATTCAAGACTTGTCATTTACTAATATTATTTCCTTGACTTTAGCTACGTATGTAATTAAAGTTTTCTATATTATCAATTTACTTTTTTTTTTTTTCTATAATTATTTAATTTTTAATTGCAATATTGAATTAAAATTTTCATTGATACTTTATTTAGAATTATTTTTTTAATCTGAAGTTTTTTTATTATTCAATTTATACAATTAGAAATAATAATTACATTTGTAGGACGTAAATGTACGTGAATTTTTGAAAGGTGATGCAGGGCATAATGCCAGTTAAAACAAAATCTCGTGTTTCTGAAAATATGGGTATCACAGGTGGATTAGTAGATGCCAGAGACAAACAAGTATTAAAGGAAGCAGTGGAAGCAGTTGTTAACAGCTTTGCTAAACATACTCAAGGTTATGGAAGAGGTATAAATATCTATAAACATTTCTTTTTAATTAATATTAAATTTTATATATATACATATACATATATTATTTTATTCTGTATTTATTATAGTAAATGTGGTTGAAGCTTTGCAAGAATTTTGGCAAATGAAACAAAGCAGAGGAACAGAGTTAAGAAATGGAGCATTAGTTATTTATGAATCTGTGCCTGGTACTAGTCCACCTTATGTATGTTATGTAACTCTTCCTGGAGGTTCTTGTTTTGGTAGTTTTCAAAATTGTCCCACTAAAGCAGAGGCTCGTAGATCAGCAGCAAAAATTGCTTTGATGAATTCTGTTTTCAATGAACATCCAGCTCGTAAAATAACTGATGATTTCATAGAAAAAGCTGTTGCAGAAGCAAGAGCTAGCTTTGCTAAACCTTCTGCAACTTCTAATGGTGTTGGTAATCAAGCACAGGTATGTTCTGAATTATATTTATTATTCATGAGAATTAAAATATTGCATTAAATTATTCAATTTTTAGGGAAATGGAGATGAGAAAGAAGATCCAAATACAGGTATAGGTGCATTTCGTTTTATGTTGGAATGTAATCGTGGAAGAACGATGCTAGAATTTCAAGAATTAATGACAGTCTTTCAATTACTTCATTGGAATGGATCTTTGAAAGCAATGAGAGAAAGGCAATGCAGCAGACAAGAAGTAGTTGCTCATTATAGCCATCGGGCTTTAGATGATGATATGCGTAGCCAAATGGCATTAGATTGGGTAGCAAGAGAACATGAAAGCGGTGGCGGAGTTGTTGCTATGGAATTGGCATTGGCAGAAAGAGAACTTGAAGCAGCACGTTTAGCTGGAAGAGAACTTAGATTTCCTAAAGAGAAAAAAGATATATTAATGCTTGCACATGCTCAAGTATGTCCTCAGTGATTCTCATAACAATTGTGCAATTAATACACAAAAAAAAACCAGTTTTATAAAAACTGGTATTAGGGGAATATATATTTTTTTAATGACATATAATGTCACTATATTGTGAAATATTTTATTGTTATTTAACAATAAGATAATTAATTCCGTCCTTTTTATGAAGTATTTTTGGTGATAATAGAATAATAATAAAATTATAAACTTAATTTTTAAGAATGCTTTAAGCGCGTGACTGCCATTATAAACTGCGATACAGGATAGATCATTTGAGTCAAAATTAATTATTAATTGTATATTATATAATTATATTTTATTATATTTTGATACAAAATCTTGTCTTCCATAATTTCATGTAGTTTTTCCTACAATTATAGCATTATATATTTTTAGCATATTGCGAGAATGCTTGGTGATATATTGCTTGCCTGATAAATAATATATAAGTGATATGATTGATTTTTCATCAATACATTTATGTTCATCATTTATATGAAATCATTATTGTATGTTATATATTTACATAATATTTACAAAACATGGACACATTTGCTATACTTAAAGTTATATACATGATATAAATTGTTTTAAAAATATTTTATTACTATTTTTAAATATTGATAAATACATGTTTTAATAAAATTTCATAATTTTAAGCATATTTTATTTAATCCTAATTAAGGTTGAGTGGAAATTTCAAGAACAGCTTTAGTGCTATCTGGTTCATCCTCTTGCATTGGATGTGATAGTACTTTGTCTATAATTCCAAATTCCTTTGCTTCTTTAGGACTCATGAAATTATCCCTTTCCATACATCGTTCTGTAAATTTATAATATATTATAAATATTTGTGTAATATGTTTTTACAAGTTAACATACCTATTTTTTCCAGATCTAAACCTGTATGTTTTACATATAAATTATTAATTTGCTTTTTAAGCTTTAATATTTCTAGAGCTTGTATCTGTATGTCAGTAGCTTGACCAGATACACCTCCTGATGGCTGATGTGTCATAATTCTTGCATTAGGCAATGAATGACGCATACCCTTTGTTCCTGCTGCCAGTAATAAACTTGCCATTGAGCATGCTTGTCCTACACACCATGTTGCAACAGGAGGTAGAACATATTGCATGGTATCATATATACCAAGTCCAGCTGTGACACTTCCACCAGGTGAGTTAATATACATATGAATTGGATTTTTACTATTTTCTGATTGAAGAAATAGAAGTTGAGCTATCACTACTGAAGATACATTATCTGTGATCTGTAAAATTTTTTATTCTTTAACTTGAAAATTAATGATAAATTAAGAATTTTAAAACTAAATTTAGAATTAATTATAATACTAAATTAAAGAAAAAATATATTAAGCAGTACCGGGCCCATTAAACAAATAATTCTTTCTTTTAAAAGACGCGAGTAAATGTCATATGCACGTTCTCCTCTTCCACTTTGTTCTACAACAACAGGTATAAAATTTAGATATCGCTTGCTTACTTTTTGACCAGGAACCTATAAATTTAATGATATTAATGATTGAAATATAAAATTATAAATATAAATTAAATGTTTAAAAGTTTAAAAATTAATAATTAATAGTATCAAATTATTAATGTGAATAACTATATTAAATCATATAATTTGATATTTTGAAATACTTACAAAAATTTGTAACAGATTACTAAGTTTTCTTAACATTTTTATAATTTTACGCTTATTATGATCATTAAACTTGGATATATATTGCTGCAAATAATACTTTACATAATAAACTAATGAGTAGTTTGAAAGATCTTTGTTAAGAAATTAAAGAATAAAACATAACCTAAATAAAAATTTATTATCATAACTTATTATAATATCAAAAAAAAGATTTTTCATTAATACAGTTACATCAATTGTATGATAATTGAAAAAATTGATCTAAATATTTAATTTATCGTACAATTGTTTTAAGCTCTTGTAGGTTATATTTTATTTCTTTTAATTAGATTTTTTTTTACACAAAGAAATTTTTAATATATTCCATTTTTCATCTTCAACTTTCTATTCGAACAAATCAGTTACTCCAATTACAAAGAATTTTTTATGAAATGGCAGTCAAAACTAACTTGTCCTAAGTGCGACGTAAATAGGCTATTTCTTTATACAATGTGTTTTATTTATTTACATGGCTTTTTTTACATAGCTAAATTTATTGGTAGTATTAAAAACATTATGCTTGTAATATATAATTAAAATAATTTTCTACATATATTTAATGTAATACATATGAATAATCTGTAATGTTTTTATTATTCGCAATCATGTAAATCTGCTTTATGTAATCACAATATAAATGAAGATAGTAAGGTAACAAAGAAAGAGTAGAATAAGTAGAATAAGTAAGAAAAAAACGTAGATTTTTATCATACGAAAGTTTTATGAGATAGAAAAGTTTAATTTATAAATTTTAATTTATAATAATTTATAAATCATCGTAAATTTATTTGTTTTCAATATTTAATAAAATTTTGTTTGAAAGTTGAGGTTATCTTTTTTTTTGATGTAAGAATTTTTCAAATTATTTAATATATTGTATTGTAAAAATCTATAAAATTTTAACGTATCTATATAAATATGTATTTTTCTAGAAGCAATGAATATATTTAGAACTACTTGTCAAACTATAGGATTTATTGTTCCAAAATTGTCATCTGTGGAATCATTCACAAGAATTATAAATAATAATATACATCAAACATGTAATAAACAATATTCAAATTTTTCAAACATGTATGCGAATAAAATTACATCTAAATTACTTCAACCATTACTACCAATATATAATTTCACATGTAGTTTAAAAACAAAAACTTTATTACACCGAAGATGTAAACATTGTTTATTAATGTGGAAGAATGATAGGAAATATATAATATGTAAAGTAAAACCAAGACATAATCAAGTGGAAAGAGTTAAAAAGGAAAAAAACACATGGATATTAACACATGCTACACAAAGTAAAATAAGAGAATGGTAAAGCATTATGTAAAATAGATATTGTTTAAATTATGATTTAAAATAAAATGATTTAAAACGAATTTATATTTGTTTCATTTATATTTTTCAGGATTTAATAACTTTCACATATGGTTTTTTATGCATTTTATAATAATATCATAAAACTAATATCATTTAAATTATTTGTAAATATTTATTTATTTATAGAATTCTATTTAGCACCTATATACACTAGATGCTGAAAAAAAATTTATTATTATTTTTTTATTTTACATTATGTTTATTGATTAAAAACTTACTATAAGGAGGACAAGTAAAAGTGCAAACATTGCGTAATGTTGTATATGGGCGATATTTATTAAAATAACATGCAAAACCTCTAGGCATTGTGGGAACAAAAGGAAGGATAGTGGAATAACAAACCTGTTGAAATATTATTTTATTTATATAGGAATTTTAGACTCTACATATATTTTTTAAACATACCATATTAGAATTACGAGGCAAAGGTTGTAAAAATAATGCAGAAGATACTGGCGATGTACAAGAGGATGAAGGTGCAGCTTGCATTTTTAATTAATATAAATTTATTTATATACGTATTAATAATATTTATTTATATATTTATAAATTATTTTTGCTGGAATTATATATATATATGTATATGTATATGTATATTATATAATACACACATATATATATTTAATTAATAATGTATTTATATAATATTGTATTTATTTTAATACTAGAATTTTATCAATTATTTCAAAGTAAACTCAGAAAAAAATTGAAATTTTGTTACTATCATTTGTTTCGAATTTCATTTTTTATATAATAATGTTTTATATAGATATAGATATGTAATATATTATTACATATATATTACATAGATAATATTATAAATTTTTTTATATAATAATATCCAATACACTTTCTTATATGTATTGGAATACTTAAAATATATAATCGTTGTTATACCTTTAGCAATTAAATTGAATAAGAAAAATTTATAAATTGAATTAATATAAACAAAAAAATTCTTAAAACAATAAATTAAAAATAT